AAGGACAAGGCGAACTGGCTGACGAGCTGCCAGGGCAGCATCACGACAGCTTAAGCCCCTCAAGCTTCGCGGATCATGGATCATATCGCGCGAATCCCCCCACGTCTAGCCCCGGATCGGTTGCCGGGCGAGGCGGGAAGGACAGGATGCTGCGGGTTCAGCGGCGGCGGGTGAGGGTGCGAGACCCAGAAAGGCAACTGCACGGCCGTTGCTGCCCAAGCGGGCGAAGTGGAGCGACAGCAGCAACCCCGCGACAAGCCCTATGATTGGCTGGTTTGGCCTAACCACGGGAAGGTGGAAGGAAGGTGGGAAGGCACGGTCTGGAAAAAAAAGTCTGGACCGCAAATTTTTTCCCCCACCTAAACTCTACCTCTCCCAACACAATTGCACCAGCACCAAAGCCAAATAACATGCCCGCGCCGCATTCCACACCTAAAAAAAAACACGCGTTCAAGGGATTTGTGATTATCTTAATGCAAAAAGCATTACTTATAGCTACAATAACGTTTTTCGCTTTTTATAAATGCAAAGGGTAAAATAATTGCAGATTGAATGGGCTCCTTTTTTTGTGGTGGTGGGGAATAAATTGCGGTCCAGACTTTTTTTCGGGAGACCGTGCTAGATCTGGGATCGCGTAATATGGTGCAAAATAATAGGCAGGGAATCTAGCTGGTTTTGCAGACGGAGCCAATGTCGTTTATTCCTCGCATGTGAAACTCGACCTGTGTATCTCTTGACAAAAGGGAGTTCGAAATCAATCAACCGAGGTCGGCAGATGAAGACGTTTGAGCTGACATGTTAATTGAGTCGATTGAATTTTCCGTACGGGCTGTTGCATCCTTGTGTCGTCCTGCTCGGTATAGATAGTATCGCACCAATCTGCTACCGGCCAACAAGCTTTGGCTTTCGTCACCTGTCTTGGCCGCTTTCCACACTTGCCTCCTTCTGAATTCTCCGCCCCTCGTCTCGGTTCGTATGTACACGATTTCTCCGGCCGGAGGGGTGGACGCCACTGCTCGCTTGGTTCGGATTCAGCATGGAACGTCATCCTGTACGAGCAAGTTTTTTCTCCTTCCTTCTGTCCTTCTTTTTCATTCTCTTTCTGGCTCTGATCTCGTCCCCGCTTCCACCCTGGCAGACCGAAAAGATAACGGAGTCGTTAAGGACAAACGACACGGCTGGAGATTCAGAGCCAAACAAGAAGGTAGGCCGGAACTGCCACCATGCGCTACAACGCTACCATATCAAACAGGGTCTGCGCCCCCTGGACCAGTGTCCGCGACCACGATGGCACCCTGACGTGGGAGTCGACCGTGTTGGGTAGATGCAGAAATCAACCTCGCTTGCCACCCGAATCTCGTTCAAACTCATAACAGACAGCACCAGGCCGGCCAATGCCCCTCCCGCCGTAATCTGGGTCTGGCCGGGGCGCGGGGCAAGCGAGGGAGGCCCGAAGCCGGCCAGTGATGGGTCACCAAGGCGAGAACTTGGAAGGGCGAGGCGCCAAAGGCCTAGACCTCCGTAGACCACCCTCCAGCGGAGGCTCTTGGCGATCTACCGAGCCGCGTATCGCGGCTGTCAGACTACTCCGAGTTTAGGTAGATTGCCGATGCCTTACAGCATAACCAAGCAGCGTCACGGATCTGGCCAGCGGCAGTCCTTCTCAACTAGCTAGCGCTTGGTCGACGGCGCTAATGGATGGATGGCGTCCTCTCCTTGCGAGTTGCATCGGCTGCACCCTGAGGTAGGAGGGCCATCGGAATGAAGTGTTCCGAATCAACCTTGTCACCAGGGAAGGAAAAGGATTACATCTGCATGCGAGTTAGTTCCCGATCCGAGAAGCTATACGTACGGTTGGTGACTGAGATGGGCCTGACCCCCTCAAGGTTCTTCTCCTGAGCCCCGCCACTGCCATGAAAAGGCCTGCGACCCTATGCTACGAGTTAGGAAAGTGCCCAGGACGAGATGTAGCAACGGCTACCCTGTTCGGGGGCCCGAGATTGTCCACCGGCCCCTCTGTGCTCGGTACCGCCCGAGTTGTGTGGTCAGCGCAGGGGTTATGTCGACGTCAATGCATCACGTATATCCATGTGAAACCTTTTAAGCGGGATGAAGCGAAGGTGCAAGGGAGCTGTTAGGTACTATGAACAGGGACATGGATAAAAATAGTACAAAAAAGAATGCATAAAATTAGAATTCTGGTGCAAATTTCCAAGGCCTAACCAACCCCTGGCCGAGCCGGCCGAGCCCTCAGGCCTTCGCCTAGTCCAAGTCCCTATCTCGTGAAGCATACTCAGAAGGCAGCCCGGAGCCTGCAGCCGCACGGGCCGCGCGGCTCCTGGCAGGCCGGCTTGTCCCCGGCCCTCCACCTCCGCCGCCGCTCCTCGAGCTGCTCGACCCGCTTCGCCCACCCCAGCGTGGCCCGGAGCAGGGCGGCGTCGCTGGACGGGGGGCATTGGCCGACGCCGCCGTCGGCCCTCAGGCCCAGCGCCCCAAAGGCCTTGGCCGTCTGCTCCGCATCACCGCCCAGGTAGTCGAGGGCGACCTGCGCGCGCAGCAGCCGCAGGCCCGCGAGCCCCGCGCGGGGCAGGCCGGGGATGACTTCGTAAACGGACTCGAACCGGCGCACCAGCGCGTCCGCCTCGACGAAGGGGTCCCAGGCGAGCGCCGCTGCCGACGAGCCCTGACCATCATCATCACCGGTGGTGGTGGTGGTGGTGTTGGAGTTGGAGGTGGAGGTGGAGGTGGCCTCCCAGAGCCGGGCGCGGTACTTGTGGCCGAAGAGCACCTTTGCGCGCAGCAGCTCCAGCCAGGTGGCCACGAGCTGGCCCTCGCCTATCGTCAGGGGCCCCGCCGCGCCGCGTCCGTCGAGGATGTCGGCGCGCCGCCGCATCACGTCCAGGAAGACCTCAGCGCCGCGCGGCTCGACGTGCCGCTCCAGCTCGCGGTATTCCTGCTCGTGCGTGCCTAGGAGGGGCACCGCGAGGTCGGCGGCCTGGTGGTTGGCGGAGTCGCCAAGTAGCGCGGTGAGCGCGTCGTTGACGGCCTCGAGCCTGGAGACGCGCTCCCGGAACTCGTCCACCACCGCCGCGCGCGTCGCCACCGCCGCGCGCATCGCTATCATGACCTCGCGGTCCCGGGCGTCGGGGCCGTCGTCGTCCGCGTAGGGGGAGGGGCTGTTGCCGTCGTCGACGTCTGGCGATGATCCGTCGTCGTTGTCCCGCATCTCCCTCCGGCGGAGCTTGAGCGCCGTGTCGTCAAAGGCCCGGCGGACGCCGTCCAGCTCCTCGCGCAGCCGCAGCAGCTCCTCCTGGCACTTCTTGAGGCGCACCTCGCCCTCGCGGTACCGCACCTCGAGCGCCTGCCGCCGCTCCAGGTGCTCCTCCTCGAGCTCCCGCGCGCGCGCCTCGAGCTCCTTCTGGTCCTGCTCGAAGCGCAGCGCCAGCGGGTCGTTGCGGGCCGCGCGCGTCTTGAGCACGGCGTTCTCGCGCTCCAGCCTGCCGTTGAGCGCGCGCAGGTCCCCGATGGACTCGTGCGCCGCCATCAGTTCGATGTGCGCCTCGCTGCCCGCCTCGTCCAGGAGCTTCCCCATCGCCTGCAGCCTCTCGAGGCACTGTGTGTTGAGTCTCCTGACGTCGACCCGCAGGTCGACCATGTTCTTCTCGGTGGTCTTGAAGGCGTCGCTGCCGCGGGACAAGCGCGCCAGCCTTGCCCTGCTGTCGCTCACATTCGACTCCAGATCCTCCATGCGCTCTAGGTCGCTCTCGACCTGCTGTTGCAGACTCGTGCACTCATCCAGGGCGGCTTTCTGCATGTCAGCCAGGACCGAGAGCTTGCGCTCTTCGTCGCGCTTCTGCCTCTCCATTGCGGCATCCCCGTCCCTGACGGCGCCGTTTACGGCCAGCTGGGCGTAAGTCATCCGGAGTACAATATCGCGGCGTGCGGCCTCGAGCTGGGAGACCCGGTTACGGACGAGGCTCAGCTTGGAGGAGACCATATCGCTGCTATCGCCGTCGCCTCCCGAGTTGAGGCTCTCTTGGTCGATGTCGTCCAGGAGTGTGTCATGTGCCTTTTGGACCTCGGCGAGGTCCTTGGTCAGAGCGTAGACATCCTCCTTCAACTTTTCGTTCTCAGCCATGATCTGGCTGGCCAAGGAAAGCCCGGGGGAGGAGCTGCCGAGCACGCCCTGGTTCTTGACCGCGTCGAGATCAATTTTAGTCACTTTGATCTCTCGCCTGAGGCGTTCAATTTCCGCCTTCATCTCCTCCTTCTCGGCCTCGCTTACCTTCAGTTTTTCGGTAGCCACGACCTCTAGCCTTGCCGACTCGAGTGCCTCTGCCCCCAGGTTCTGCATGCGGAAGTAGTCGATCTGTCTCTTGGACTCTTTCTGTCCCTCCCGAAGATCGCTCATACAGGCCCAGTAGCCGTCCTTTTCCTGCTCGAGCGACGCGACCTGCATTTTCAGACTTGTCTCCTTCGCCAAGCTCTCAGCCGCGCGTTCCCCCAACTTTTCCAGCATCGATTCGGAGTATCCCAGGCTCTGCACAAGCGAGGTGTGCTTGCCCTCTTGGTCCTCGGCGAACGCCTTTAGCTTTTCAATAGCATCGAGAAGGGCGGTCTTCTCCCTGCTCACAAGCACACCGACGCAGGTATCCATAGCGCCATGGAGCGCTGCCATGATTGAGTTGAGATCCTGCGGTTCCGTCCTGCGGAGTGGAGGCCCAGGTCTGGGGCTTCTAGATGGCGATAGGTAGCGGTTGCTGCCACTCGAGCTGGTCTCCGAGGAGTTAGAACTGGGGATGGAGATGGAGATGGAGCCGGAGCCGTGAGTGTTTTTGCCCATCATACGAGACGGGAGAGTAGATCTATCGTCCTTGTTAGATTCCGGCTCGTACTCCACAAATGTCATCTTTCTCCGGACGGTTGGGCCGAACTCGATGTTCAGGGGGCCAGACTCGCTAGAGTCGGTGCTGCGGGAGCAAACGGACCTGTTCTCAGCATGTTCCTCTCCTGCATTGTCGACCCCAGTGGGCTCCTTGCAATCGCCGTCTGCCGCCGCCATCGTAGCGAGAGCCTGGTGGTGCTGTTCCTTCATTGCCCAGTCTGCAAAGTAAGTGGCGTGTGTATGTGTGTTGTGTGTCGAAAAGCTTCAGGAGCAAAGCGCTGGGAGTCGGTCACTTGAGATAGAAGTGAAGGATAGGGATCGCGATGAAAACGGACATCGGCCACCGTCCGCCCTCACTTAAGAGCATCAACGCAACAAAGACTCATCATTTCCTACAGTAGTGGGGCATAAGTTTAACAAAGGCGTCAGTATTAAGGGCTGTACCTCTTTGTTGGAAGCATGGCAAAGCCGCTGCAGAAAATCGAGCCCCTGGGACCTTGTGCTCGAATTTTCAGGAAGTTTCGGCGACATGGAGATCTCGGAACTTGCAGATTTCTTGCAGATTGCTCTTTGCTAACTCGGTGCTCTAACGTGGGGTGTTGCCACCAGACAGGTTTTGTGTTCTTGAACAAATAGCACAGGGAGTGGAATCTGCACTAGTGCCGCAAAACCACCCATCCGGAATGCCTTGGGGACAGCAGTAGCAGCCATGTCTCAGTCACCACTGTTCTCTTGCCTCGGCTCAAGATGGGCGTGCTGGCGCATTTTTTCGGGTTGTTTAGAAGGGTTGCCTTTGTTTGGTTGCTATCATTCGATCGAAATTGCGAGGCATATGCTGTCACAACAAGGCAACGACGATAAAGGGAGATTTGGCCAGATTGGGTTTGATTATTGACTTACCCACGAATCCAGGGAAGCTGTTACGATACACTTTCAATGTTCAAGGTCCATGGCAGCACAGGATCAAGAAGCTCGTTTCACACATCACTAGGAGCCGGATGGCGGGCTCCGAATGTCATGCATGCCCTTCTTCCTGCGCAGGCCAGGATTGTACTGGTACGGCGACGGCGGCGGCGGCGGCGGCGGCACCGCCTCCTCGCCGTCGCGACTCCGTGCCTCCACTGCCTGGCGCTTCGCCTCGATCTCCTCGAGCTGCTTCCAGACTTCCATCTCGGCCATGAGCTTCTCAGCTTCCGGACATCCCATAACGGCGGCACGATAGTAGCCCTCACGGGCGCCCTCCCATTCCTTGAGGGCACGCCGCGCATGAGCTACGACAAGCCGAGCGGGCGCCTCCAGGTCTGGACGCTTGCTATCCTGGGCAGACTTGAGCGCTTCGTTTGCTAGCGCATATGCCTTTTTATAGTCGAGGACCTCATCCACATCATCCCTTTCTAGGCAGTAACCCAGGAGGATTTCCGCCTGGTTGAGCTGTTCGGCGTGGGCCATGGTAAGCAGTGCCGGGGATACGAGGGCCGGTGTGGTCTGGGGCGACATCTTTGCTGTATTCCGGAATGCTGTTTGTCCAAGATTGGAGCCGTGAGCTGAGATATCGTCCGATGTGGTGGTATGATGCACTGGAGGTTGTTAGAGATAGTGAACAAATACCTATACATTCCCTTTCCCTCCGACATCACCACTGAGCATATATACCTGTGCGGCATCTCCTGGCGTCCTTTCTCGGATTTGTCGACAAAGCGGTCCTTTCTTTCAGAATCAGCCACCACTTTGGGCGCAGTCCTTTCATCTTTCACTAGCTAACTGAAAGACTACATCTCATTGTTGTCCAACTTTTGCCCAGCCAACCCGAAGCAGCTGTGGGCAGCCAACCGTTACCCTATCGCACGGGGAAGCCCTTCAGTGTTGCTTGGACTTTTTGCAAGGCCTCTCGGCCTCTTTTGCCGAGTCGTCTTTCTTTGTGGCGGCCGCGGGCTCGCCGGAGTGGTACGGCAGTTCCTCGCCTGCACACTCAAGCCGGCGCTTGTGGTGCGAAAAGTGCGCCTTTGGGATAGGCAGACGCTGAAGGTTCGGCTGGTCTACGTCACCGACCAGTACAGTGTTGTAAACATACTGCATGATGGAGGCGAATGTCTGGACGCCGTCGGGCTTGCACACTCCCCTACCGGGATACCACGCTTGATGACACTGCCACTTGACCAGTCCATTTGAATGGAGGACACAAAACCACTGGGCCCTGAGAGCAGACGCATGGTTGTCAGTCACGAGTTCGTGTCTTGGAACACATTTTGGGTTGGTTTTTGACCTTGCACATGGACTAGGGAGGTAGGCACTCACAGGAAGTCTCGACAGCCCACCTGTGTATTTGGGCTTCCGTAGAAAGGCGGAGCATCGACGTAGCTGAACGGGAAGAGCCCCTTGGTCTCATCACCAGGAGGATCTGCTGCGTCAAGAAAGTCCTTGATCGTGGTGCCGTCGGTAACCTCAAACCCTGGCAGAAGGAGAAAGAAGAAAGGAGTTAGATTATTGATGCTCCAGCGTAGATGATGGCAGGACAGACTTACAAAAAGCTGCAGTGGCCGATTTAGATGGGCTAGAGTAGTGCACCGGCTTGGCGGCGAGATAGGTCCTCGAGCTAGGCATGCGGGCCACTTCGGGCGAACAGCGAACTCCCTTGGCCAGAACGTATTTCCCCTTGAGGGTCACCCCGACGGGCGCGCCCTTTACCTGGAGCCGGAGGACGACATGGTTGTTGAACGGCTGCCTAACCTCGCTGACGCCATCTCCCAGCGCCGTGGAGGGGCCTGGGTTGAGCCCAAGGAACTCGACGATGCAGCTGTCGCAGGGCTGCCGTTTTAGTTCCTCAAATCCGCTGGTCTCGACGTAGATGGTCCCAGCCTCTGGAAGGGTGTACAGCTTCTCCTTCTCGCTGTGGGCCTCCATGTGCGCTTGATCTCGTGTCTTGGTGAAGCCGTACTTAACTCTAGTTGGTTTTCTACTAGGAGCCGTCGAAGAAGGGCGACTATCAGGCTCGGGTGTGAGTACTTGGCCAGTTGTAGCAGCGTCGCTGTCGGCCTGCCGACGACGGCTACGGGTTTCCATGTTATGTTCTCGTTCCATGATTTGAGAGTTTCGAGTGGTTATTTGCTTACCGGGAAGAGAAAAAATGCAGCGGGCCGTGTGCGGACATCTTAAACCTCTTTGGACGAGATGGGGCTGCCTTGGGCTGAGGGGCACAATAGGAGCACAATAAAGCCGGACAAAGAAGATTGTGGCATCTCAATGGCAGTTCTGGCGCAGCAAAGATCAGGCTAGCGCAGTCTCCTATTAATAGATTCTCAACAGACTGGCGAGTCTAGACAATACCTCTTTCTCGAGAGGAAATGGTTCGTCACCCGCACACGCACAATGGCAAAGCCCTGTCACTTCGAGTCACCAACCGCTCCCTGTGGACTTCTCCGTTGAGGAGTACTTTGCTATTCCGCAAGAGTGATAGCAATGCTGCCCATCCCCAGTCGAATCTGAGGCATTAGTGAGTTCGGCGGACATGGCTTCCCCCTTCCGATCGATACAAAGTCGAAAACGGGTGGGATAGGACAGAAGGCTAGTCGATGCCCTTGCGTAGAGATAATTGTCGTAAGGAAATTTTAGGATGATAGTGGGCAGACGAAGATATATCCGGGGGGCTCTGGCTGATTCCATTAAGCCACATCGGGTGAGGTCAAGATGGCAGGTCCCTGGCGGTTATGTGAGAGAGTCCTGGGGAGACTTCCCGATTTGACTTACATCGGCCAAGGGTTAGGGGTGAGCTGGCTGGGCTGGGTTTCGACTGATCAATGCACGTGACAGCCGGGTCGACCCGGCCACCCGAACAGAGGCCAATCGGTGGCCAATCAGGTGCGGCCAATTGGGAAGGGCCGGGGAATTGTCGAGCCATGATTTTCAGGCCTGACTGAAGCCCCAACTGTGACGCTCGGAGAACTCAAGACATCGCAACCGCCCCGAACCAGCCATAACCACAATAATACGCCGTTGACCACACACCCGGCCGATCGCGAAAATGGGCATCTGGGACGTATTTACCGATATCGCCGACGCGGTCAAGCCGTGGAGCGAGGTCGAGGCAGAGGCGCCCGCCGCCGCCGAGGAGAAGCCCGAGGTAATAAAATTCCCACCCGACGACAGCATAGGGCTGCGGCGCGCATAGCGAGCCCTCCCAATGCGCACCGCGGCGGTTTGACTTCGAGAGGACCCCCAGCAAAGCTCGCTGGTTGCGGCTGGAGCCGCGAGGCTTGCAAGTTCGTGGACTGACCCGACTGTTTGCGCCGCTGCAGGAGACCACCAGCTCCAAGGACGAGCCCGCCGAGGAGGAAGACGAGGAAGAGGAGGAAGAAGAGGAAGAGGAGGAGGTCCTTGACCCCAAGGAGCGTCTTGAGGAGGGTTAGTACCACGATCTCCGAATCTCGGCCCCCCGACCAAAACACCCCACACCGGCCCGCGGGCGCATCGACAGGCTTCGGTCCAGGCCGCAGGAGCTGGAACGAACAGCACACTCCAGAGAGCTCCAATCTGGGATCTGCGATGCGCTGAACGCCGTTGCCTCGGGCGCAATTCTATCCGTCGTGGACACCCCCCGTGCATGGGCTTTGGCTCTGGCGCTAACACACCCCACTTCCGACCAGAGTGCAAGAACTCCAAGCAGTGCTCTCCTGCCAAGCACCACTTTGACGAGTGCGTCGAGAGGGTCACCAACAGCTCTAGCAGCGACTCCGAGGAGAAGGAAGACTGCGTCGAGGAGTGTAAGTGGCATCGACACCATGTTGCACACATGGCTGCTGGCGGGGTCACCAGAGCAAAGCAATTGGACGTTTTCTCTGCTGTTCGATACAGACTGTACTGACGTTGATATCACTGGTGCAGTCTTCCACCTTGCCCACTGCGCCACTCAGTGCGCTGCGCCGAAGCTGTGGTCTGTCCTCAAATAAACCGATATAGCGACTGCCGCTACATGTCTGCGTGTTGGAGAGGGGTTGCGGGTGAGGAACCAAACGGTTGCCTCCCGCCCGGACACACAAAGGCTGTACAAGACGAAAACGAAACAGGACCGGAGGACCAAGTAACGCCTATACGACGACATGGGGTTTCCGACAGCTCTTTGGCCAACTCTGCCTCGGCCGGTTGAGAGGGGCTGGAGGGCGGCGTGTTCATTCTTATTCTCTTGTGTACCATAGAGCAGCCAACTGCATCATCTCAAAAATATTAGACTTGGAATGGCGCTCAGATCCCAGCTCGATATGAAAGATTGCCACGTGCGCCTCGCTCACGATGGACTGTACAGGGAGTTGTTGAGCCTCCTTGTGGTGGGAGCAAGGAACCTGGTAATGGATGAAGAGTCGGTGCTCTTGTGGCTGTAGATCAAATCTTGATCCAAGTCGACGAGATACCTTGCCGGTATCACACCTACAAGCCGGAGCCAACCAAGCCCCTTGCCTGCCGCTATGTTGAGGACGGGCTCGGCCAGGGTACATTTCGTATTCAAGGCAATCCGGCGTTGGCTCAGCCCCGTCGACACTATGTATCAAACATGGCCATGCAGCGGATTCTACGCATGTATGAGGAAGCAAGCGCATTCCGCCCTGGGCAGCATCGAACGCGACTCTCGGGAACCCTAACCAAAGGATCAATTTCTGTCCCTAGACATCTCGGTATGTGGCCTTGGCAGCTTCACGTAGACTTCTTGATTCTGAAAACCATCCTGGCAAATGTCCAATCAGTTGTGGCTGGCTTGCGTGTCTGAGTCCCGATCCAGTGTCGTCCCCTGGCCCGCCCATCTTCCTCTTTTGGCCGAGCCCGACGCTTTAGGGTCGATAAGCTGCCGTCACATGGTGCCGCGACGAGAACGTGGACAGGGGTTTGAAGGAGGGGGAACCAAGAAGAGGGCAGCATTGGAAAAGGCCGATTTTGTGTATGTCTCGACATACGCGATACGCACTTGCGCAAACATAAACCGCGAAGGGTTCGAACAAGGTTTATGCAAAGGGGCACCAAAAAAGGATGCCCGTCACACTGACCCCTAGCTGTCACGAACCAACCCAGACGGCCGGGACGGCGACCAACAGCGACGTGCTTGACAGCTCAATGCGCGACTCGAAGCCTTGCACCCAACACGAGACGCCAATCAGGTATTGCGTTTCTCATGAGCCCGTGCCCGCGAGCGCCCCTCGCTGGTTGATGGATTGTCGAAATGGCCATTGCTGGGTGGAGCTCGATAACGTGAGTTTGACGGCGGGCCGAGGGGGACCAGGGCCAAAAGAGCGAACAAGTCGTTCGTGGAGGCGTTCAACCCCAGCGAGCAGGGAGTTCCCCGGACGCACATCAACGTGCCCCCAGGCGGGGCCATTTGCTGCGCTGTGGCGAGGATGGCACACGCGTCGGGGAGGAGCCACTCAGGACGAGGGGAGAGGGGATGAGAGGAGGAAGCCCGTACCGCGTATTTCAAACGTTGGGGCTGGGAGCAGTGCTCCAGAAGAGACATGTTGGACCCTGAGCCATCCATGAATGTGCACACAAGGATCAATGCGAGAAGGGGAAGGAATTGGACGCAGCGGACGCAAGGGTCCTCCTTCCTTTGTCACCAAAACGGCTGATTATTTGATAAAATAAAACGACGTCCCTCCCTCCCGAGAGGCGAGAGCACACGAGAGCCAATTTCCGGGCTTCTTTCCCGGAGCCGCTGGCTTCTCTTTTCTCAACGCCTCTTTGTCTGTGATTCTTGCTGCTGCTGTTGATCTCCAGCATTGCATGCATTTCATCTTGGGAGAAGGGGCTGTCAAGTTTGTTGATTGACAAGAGCGCCAGGGAAGCATTGTCGTCTGGGCTAATCTCCGATCTCCCCTTGTCCCCTACTTGGCTTTCTTTTGAGTTACCTCCCTATCCCTTCTTCGTTCGAATTCCACACCACGCCAAGTCGAGCAGCGCGCGAGATTGCACCATCTCCCTGAAAAACGATCAACCAGCACAGACGGGAACGCCCAACGTTAGGGTCGTCGCTGCGTGTGCGGCTCGCCAACGCAGGGAGCAAAAGCTTCAAAGCAATTGAGATCAGCGCAACAAACCGCCTCGTGCAGTAGTAGTGCCTGTGGCGCCTGCACACCCCGCGATTAGCCGCAGACGGGCAGCAATCACCAGTGCAGACGGGATAACCGGCTAGAATCCGCAGCGCCGCCACCAAGATCTTCCCCATGGGGAAGAAAGAAAGCAAGGCGGCCGGCGCCGACGAGGGGGTGGGTGAGGACGAGGGCAGGTGGAAGTACGAGGAAATGGCGTCCAAGAAGAAGGAGTCGGACGCCGCCAACGACGACGCCATCGAGCTGGGCGAGCGCCGCGGCGGCGACGACGGCGGCGCACCAGCCAAGATGAGCGTGGGCGTGCTCCTGCACGAGTCCCAGCACGCGGCCAGCGGCGACGGGCCCGACGGCTCGACCGTCTTCTGGAAGGTGTACCGGCGGCGGTGGTTCGGCGTGGTGCAACTGGTGCTGCTCAACATCATCGTCAGCTGGGACTGGCTCACCTTCTCACCCGTGCCGGCGCACGCGGCCGCCTACTTTGGCAACTCGGAGAGCGCCATCAACTGGCTCAGCATCGCCTTCCTACTCGCCTTCCCCGTCGCGTCCCCCGCCGTCATCTACGTGCTGCACCTGGGGCCCAAGCCCTCCATCGTCGTCTCGGCCGTGCTGGTCCTGCTCGGCAACTGGCTGCGCTACGCCGGCGTGCGCGCCGGCGACGGGTCCGGCAGCTTTGGTCTCGTCATGTTCGGCCAGATCCTCACCGGCCTGGCCCAGCCCTTCGTCCTCGCCGCCCCGACCAGGTACTCGGACCTGTGGTTCACAAACAGGGGCCGCGTCGCCGCGACGGCCCTCATGAGTCTCGCCAACCCCCTTGGTGCCGCCCTGGGCCAGCTCATCATCCCGTTCATGGTCGTGGGGCCTGCCGATATCCCGAACATGGTCCTATATGTTGCTATAATCGTGAGTGCTTCTTTTTTCCTCTCTGCCCCTTCCTCGCCAGCCCAGCTAATCCCACCGCTCTCAAAAGTCCTCCGTCTGCGCGCTCCCCGCCTTCTTCATCCCCGCCGCCCCGCCCACGCCCGCGGCGCCGTCGGGCGAGACGGCCAAGGCCGACATCCTGGAGTCACTACGGCTCCTTGTCGTGTCGCCCGAGTTCTGGATGCTCTTCATCCCCTTCTCCTTCTACGTCGGCTTCTTTAACTCTATCTCGAGCCTTCTCAACCAGATGATGGTGCCGTACGGCTACACCAACGACGAGGCCGGCATCGCGGGCGCCGTCCTGATCGTGGTCGGCCTCGTCGCCGCCGCCGTCACCTCGCCCATCATCGACCGCACCAAGGCCTTCATCCTCTCCGTCAAGATCCTCGTACCCGTCATCGCCGTCTCGTACCTCGTCTTCATCTGGATGCCCGAGACGCGCGAGGGCGGCGGCCTCGCGGGGCCTTACGTCATACTAGCCGTCCTGGGCGCCGCCTCCTTCTCCCTGGTCCCCGTCGCGGTCGAGCTGCTCGTCGAGTTCACGCACCCAATCAGCCCCGAGGTCACGTCGACGCTCGCCTGGTCCGGCGGCCAGGTCCTGGGCGCCTGCTTCATCCTCGTCTCGGACGCGCTCAAGGCCGGGCCCGACGGGAGCCCACCCCTCAACATGAAGCGTGCCCTGATCTTCCAGGCCGTCCTGGCAGTCGCCGCCGCCGTGCCGCCCCTGTGCATCGGCCTGTTTGGCCGCAAGGACAAGATCCACCTGCGGCGCGTCACGTCCGACCAGATAGCCTTGGCGGCTCGGGCCGGGGAGGAGGCGGCCTAGGGGCAGGTTGGACACAATGTTTTTCTTTTTGGATATGTGGGACATTCTTTTTGAGCAGTCACGGGAAGGGGTCTTCAGCTGCAGGGATCTTGCGTATTTTAATTCGAAAAATAAAGCCTGACAATGCGCAGTTGGCAAGCTATCTTTGTCCTCTCACCAAGGTCCGCGACGCAATCATACTGCTACCTACATACCAAGCCAAGTTGATGCCGTGCCTGTCCTTAAGTGAAACTACCCATGCACCTAGCTCAAGCGACGATCTTCGGCAGTTCTGTGCAGGAGGGATTGCCAAATTCCGTGACCAGAGCCGTGACGCGAGTCTAACAAGACGGCGAACCTCCTCCAACAATGAGGTGAAGATGGGCACGCGCCAGAGCATCCGCCCATGGACAACGTATACCTCTTGCTGCTGCAAGCCATGGCGGCTCTTTGGATTTGTCCGTCGCTTATCGCAGGCGCAAAAGGAGTCTATATCAGCGGCATGGATCCACACGGGGAGGCTACACCACAATGGGTTATAGCAGAGGGCGCGGATGCAGTTGGTTTTCACTGGCCTGTTTCTGTTACTCCAAGGGCAGGAATGAAGAGTCCCCTGTGGCTCGTGAGTCCACTATCAAAAAGAAGGCGCGGCTTCGCTAGTGTAGGCGATCTTGCTACAACGAGGAGGGCGCTCCGAGAAACTTGCAATCATTTGATGAAAGAAATCGGAAATCTAGAGGCTAAAAAGGGGTTGGAAGAAAAGAATAGGTGGTTTAAGAGTGCTGCCCCCACTTGACCCTCTCACGTCTCTCGGTGCCGGGCGGCGATGCACCACGAGGTGGGCGACCAAAAGCGGCTCGGCGACCGAATTCCTTTCTAGAGTCGAACAAGAGGAATGGAGGTAGAGCGCCGGGCAAACGGTGGCTAGCCATATCAGCTGCTCTGTTGTAGTAGTAATTGACAGGGCTGGCGCCACGTCAATGACAGCTTCACTGTAAAAATGTTATGATGCGTTTTAACCTAGTGCCGGTATACGACTGTGAGTGGGACTGGAACTGGGGGAATACCTAATACCATCCTATCTTTTTACTTGCACATGGGTTTGAATTGTCGATGTGACATGTATGTTTCCTTGAACGAGCGACCGTACTTCTATTTACACCAGTACATAACCATCCAGACGTCCAAATACGCGTGGTCCTGTTGGAGGTATAAAAACATTCCGCAAAGCCCAAATGTAATGCGCTCACCCTGCTAATAACACAATATTAACGCCATCAAAAAAACACGGTCCTTTAAACGCCAAGCCACGCTGCTGCCCGCCGGCCCGGTGCATTCTACTACTTCCCGCCTCCAACCGGGCACCCTTGAGCTTTCCCGATATGCATCAACTTCTTGGCCATGCCCCTAAAGCTCTTCGGCCGCTCGGCCCGGACCGCGTCCCCCTTGGACTTGGGCGAGCCCAGCGCCTTCTTCGTCCTCGAGATCAGCGAGTCGAACGCCTCGGCCGCGGCCCCGGCCCTGGTCCTGCGGCTGCTGGCGACCGACGCCGTCTCTGCCAGCGCCAGGGCGCTCGAGGACCTGGCAAACGCCGGCGCCGGCGGTGTGGCCGGTGGATCTGGGCTGCTGCCGCCGTCCGCCGCCTTCTCTTTCGAGGGCTCCGGGTGCAGGTCGTCGCCCGACACAACGGTGCGGTCGAGGTCGTTTTTGGCGATGACCACGTCGTCGTCGTCGTCAAAGATCTTATCGGCGAACCCGCTGTCCCGGGCGGACGCGAGCGAACGCTGCCTGGGCCGGCCGCGTTCCGCGCTGCTCCTCGGGGACCCTTCGCGGATCCTCTCCTGGGCGAGCGTCTCCTCGCTCTTGTTGGGCCGGCTTGTCGGGCCGCCCTCCTTCGCCTCCATGACGCCGCTGTGGCTGTTTGTCGGGCTCGTCGGCGCGGTGCTGAGCTCGTCTCCGTGGGCCGTCTCGGCGCCCAGCGAGCGGACCGAGTCGGCGTAGCTGGAAACTGAGGCTGTGTCGCAAATCTCATCTGTGCTGGTGGGCTCTGTGGTGTGGTCTGTAGGTTCTGAGATGGTTTCTGGGGATTCTGGGACGGTGTTTGTTTGTGCTGAAGACTCTAGTGTTGGCTCTGGAGCGTCGGTAGGGGCGTTTGCGTCCTTGGGGACAGGTTCTGCCGCTTCTGCGCGCGGGGTCGTCTCATCGTCGACAGCATCGGTATCGTCGAGGACCAAATCAGATCCGATGACGTCATAATCAACGTCCCTGCAGGTCCCTGCCATCGCCGCGAGGCTGACGACGCCGGCGGCGTCGGCGAGAGGAGCCTCCGCGACGGGCCAGGAGTAGTCTCCCGTCTTGCGGTGCGAGGGCTCGAGGCACGACTCGAGCACCTCCATCTGGCCGATGATGTGGCGGAAGCGGCCCCTGGTGCCCCGGACCCCGGTGGTGAGGCACGCCAGCTCGGCGTCGCAGTCCCGGCGGAGGCTGCGCGCGATGTACGAGTGGCGGAGGAGCACGTGGCTCTCCGGCCCCGACGCCAGCATGGCGTCCAGCCGGGCCGAGCAGCCCCGGACGGCCTCGATGGCTGCCTCGCGGCCGACCCCGGCGTCGTCCTGCAGCATGGCCTCCAGGAGGCTGCTGTTCAGCTCGTCTAGCCGGCGCTGATGCGAGTCCATCTCCATGGCGTCTCTGTCGCGGCGGCGGCGGCGGCGGCGACGGTGGTGTGGTGGTTGGGTTATGCCCGTGGTGGGTGTTGCCGAGGTTGGAGGACCCAATTATTCGTTTGGTCGCTTCGCTTGTTGCAACAAGGCTCTCTCTCCACCCTCCTTTCCCCTCTCCGTCTCTTCTTGCCTTTTGTGTTTGGCGCAATGGCACAAAAGCTGAGCAGGCTCTTCATATGGATCCTTTATCTGATTTGAGCGCAATCAGTCATTTGTCGGAGGTGACGTTTTTCGTTTTGGCCGTTGTCCTCAGGCGGTGGCGTGGCTTGCCCAACGTTGCTCATCGAGACATAACTCTCGAGGAGGGACCCGACCCAAGTAGCTGTCGGGGTGGCAAAAAGATTCGCGCAATGCGGCTGGAACAGGACAGGCTTTCTAGGAAACCAGAAAGGACGCAGGCCACTGCACTTTCCCCTGCGTTTACTTCCTTTTTTATTGCAAGAGCGACGTGGTCGACCACAGCAATTGGTCCACGACAACAGGGCGCCATGCCTTGCTTCTTAAGCAGCTTATAGGTCGCACCAAGCACACGCCATCCATGCCACAACCCAACTAACCCCGCACCTACAGCCTGCAGCGAACAAAGAAGTTTCCCACCATACGTGTCAAGGCATGCCGCCATTAGATAGAATGGCGATGGATAGCCGAGGTTCTTGTCATGGGATTTTTTTCTTCTTCTTTTCGGCTGGCCGTGAACGGAGGGGAGAAGGAGTTGAAGAATGAAGAGTCAATAAAAAAGCATCGACAAAAACCATGCCAAGCGCCACGAGAAGCTGGGGGTGCTCTCATCAGCGCACACCAGGTACCCGACCGTGAGGCGCAAAAGTAACCTGCAGCGGGCAAAATGGGGCGGGACATGGCGTCCACCACCTACCCTTGCAAGCGGCCCCCAGAAACCCACCAGCTGGGCGGGCAGCCAACAGGCGCGTGCCCGGCGTCGGTGGTTGCACGCCAAGCCCGAGCCCGCTTGCATGGCCCTCCCCCAAAGTCCGCCGTAAGCGGTCGGTAGCATCTTCAGGCGCTCAGCTGAACGACCAGGATGGGATCGGCGGGGGGGAGCGGCACTGTTGAGCAGAGAGCGCCTGGGTTGCCAATAGGGACCAAGACGTCATGCAGTCAGCTCCGTCCCACCTTCCAGAGACCCGTATCTGCACCAAAACCTGCATGAGAGGGGGTGGGAGAGGCTGCCGGGCTACGGCGGTGCGCTGTGGCACGAATTGGGACAAGGGCCAGAATGGATGATGCAGAGTCTCGCGTCGGATTGCTTGCTTATGTACTTGGTAAATGAAGCGCGCCGAGACAATGAAGCTCAGAACATAGCAGGAGAGGACAGATCCCAGTTTAAGACCCGGTAAAAGAGGGCAGTTGGTTCTTGTTTGTGGTGTGCCGTGCAATAGCACCAGACCTGACTGAACGAATGGATGGTGCTGCACGTGCCGCCAGTGCAATCTGCCTGGTGGATTCAACGAAGAAAACCGTCGTCCGAGGGCATCGATGCGCTGCAACGAAAAAGGATAACAGATGGCGAAGAAACCAAAGAGATGGGGCTCTCAAACGAGTTCGGACGGGATTTCAGGGACAGTATCTCCCTGGCATCGCCCATTGATGCTCTAATCGCCGGGCCATGACGAAAGAGACCGACGCAGGTGGAATGGAAGGGCAACAGCGAAACATTAATAATGGCCGACGAGATTGGTAATCCCTCCTCGCGCTCATGTCTCTATCGAGGCGCATTCACCCGGGTACGACCTCGTGCCGTCGCAAAAAGGCCTGCCGGATTGAAAGCACGCCATCTGTCCATCTTCTTGCACCGACGCCGGGCTATTATTCATCAATCAAACCCCCACCAGAGACGGGACTACACCTACATAGAAGAGAGGGGGTGAGGGCGAGAGTATAGTGTAGGTTAGAGGTAGTTTGCCAGTCTCACAAACAATGATAAAGCTCAACCTTCCGCCGCTTCTGCTGCGCTCATCAGCCGGGTATCCAAGCCAGCAGCGCATTCGCACCATTTCCATCTTGAGTCATCGGCATAGTCCATCACGATCAGCCTTGCCAAAGCCGTTTCTGCAGGGACCGACGCACAACCACAACCACCAAAGACCCCCTGTACTTGCTTGGTACACCACCACAACCCCTACCAAGAACTCACCACCACCACCACCACCAGACATGGCCGCCGAACCCACCGGCCTGATCGCCAAGTCCGGCATCGAGCTGCTCACCACGGGCACCCCCAACGGCGTCAAGGCCTCCATCCTGCTCGAGGAGCTCAAGGACGCCTACGGACTCGAGTACACCTATCAAGCCATCGACATATCCAAAAACACCCAGAAGCAGGCCTGGTTCACGGCAGTCAACCCGAACGGCCGCATCCCCGCCATTGTCGACCACGACCGCAGCGGTTTCGCCGTCTTCGAGGGCGCCGCCATCCTGTCGTACCTGGCCCGCCACTACGACCCGCGGCACCTCCTCAGCTTCCCGCCCGGGTCCGACGACCACTCGGTCGCCGAGCAGTGGATCGCCTGGCAGCACGGCGGGCTGGGACCCATGCAAGGGCAGGCCAACCACTTCCTCTTCGTGGCCAAGGAGAATCCCTGGGGCGTCCAGCGCTACGTCGGCGAGACGGAGCGCCTCTACGGCGTTCTAGACAAGCGCCTGTCGGATCGCGACTACGTCGCCGGCCCTGAGAGGGGCCGCTACTCCATCGCCGATATTGCATTGGTCGGCTGGGTGAACGCCGGCCGCCTGTCTGGCCTGGACACGAAGCAGTTCCCCAGCGTCTACGCCTGGCTCGACCGCTGCCTCGCACGGCCCGCCACAAAGAGGGGCCTCGAAATTCCATCGGGGCCGAGCAAGTACGGAATCGAGGCCTTGGCAAAGCTGGAGGCCGAAGGCGACCAAGAGTTCCTCGCCAAGGACAAGGAGAAGCGCGAAAAGATTGCCGCCGCCAAAGCCCAGTACAACTACAAATACGCCTCTCCCTAAACGTGACCACATTGTCGTGGCCAGCGCATCAATGAGTAGAGGCTGCTTATTTGCCGTGAACAGATTCTCATTTGGGCTGAAGTATGTATGCTAGTTAGTAGCAACCTGCTGCAAATGGCGGGTCCGGACATTATGTATACGGTATAAGGTTTTTTTGCGTTAGGGTCGTGACATCTCAAGAGATACCAAAGCGCCAAGTACAGCATTGCATATGATGCCGTAGCCGGGCCTCCAAGGGCTCCAGAACAAACCATCGGATACTCGAGCGTCGTCGCGCCCAATGGGCGAGGCTATCGATCGTAAGTCAAGTCAAGCGCGCTTCGATGGTCCAGGTCCAGGTCCGTCGGCGTACCGGAATCCCAGGAAGGCCATGGCAGGTGATACAGAGAAACAAAACAAAAAGACACTAGCAAAACAACGCAACGAGAGAAATCCCCAAACTGATCATAGCTCATTGCCCGATATCCGGCGGATCCCGGACGCGAAGAATTCCGGGGAACAGGAGGTCTCCAGACCGCGATGGAACGACGAGAGTGATTCCACGAAGCCAAGAGGCGAGTTTTCGTTAGAACAGGTTGACACTGCAGTACAGGCGCTTGAAGACGATAACAACAGGGTCAAAAAAACACAAGGAGGCCGAAGGGCATATCCAGCTGTCGATAAGTCCGGCCAGTGTCGTCCAGAGGATCCTGGGAAGGTGGATAGCGTCCTCGAGCCGCGCACCAGGCGGGAGAATCGTTCTCCGAGTGAATCTACACATAAAGAGTAAGGGACGATACGCCCAGTGAGAGTGGAGTAGAATTACCAGTAGCGAGCCGGCCTATCGTACTCTCGCGGGTATCCTCCCTCGCGAGAGTAGCCGGCTTCACGCGGCGGGAAGTCCCGCGGCGGAGGGCGGTCGTAGGGTCTGCCGTTGGCATAGGGGTCGGGGGGCGGGTAGTCGCGCCTGTAGGGGTCGTCGTAGCGACCGCGAGGCGGCGGGTAGTCTTCGACGGGCCCACGGCGAGGCGGCGACCGGTAACGCGCTCTGTCATCGTAGTACTCCCGGCGAGGGGGGCTCCGCTCGCGATAACCATCGCGGTAGCCATCGCGACGGGGACTGTAACCACGAGGAGGCCCGCGACGGTCATAGTCGTCACCAGGAGGAGCATATGAGCGCCTTCCCGGAGGCGACCTGGAGCGGCCACGGTCACGCACAGGCGGATCGGCTTGAGCCTGGAGGGAAATTAGCCTCGCGTTCGTCGGTCTCGTGTCTTGGTTGTGTCTGTAGCAGGCTCGGGCGGGGCCGGAAACTTACGTTGGCGACGCATCTAACAACCTTCTCCTTGAATTCCTTGCCATCAAGTGCGTCAACGGCAGTAGCAAGGTCCGCAGCGGTCTCAAACTCGACAAAGCTAAAGCGGTACAGGGTTAGTCTGCGATCGCGGTCTCCATCTTGTGTTAGCCGAAAGAGTGGACAGAACTCACCCTTCCCCATTGTTACTGCGACCGGTTTCGGAGTAGACCACGTCCAGCTGGGACTGCCGGGCAAAGTCTTTCAGGTCCTAAATCCAGAGTCCGTGTAAGTGGAAAGCCAGGAGGGGTGAAAGCCGGAGAGCGACCAGGGCCGAATCCTTCCAAACGCGAGAGAGCCGGGGGGAGTCCAGAGAATCGTCGAAGGGTCCTTCTGCGCCAGATCACGACGACGAAAGCCTTTTCCTCAGAGATGTTTGAAACGGAAAAGGAAACCAAAACTTGGGCGCAATCCGAGCAGGAATTTGTCGCCACAGTGTAACCCCGCCGAGGTGGTCCGGCGGTTATGTCTTGGGGTAAACCAGCACAGAAAGGCGCATTCGTCGCCCACCAAAAACACACCAATGTCTGGGGCTCTCCTCAGGAACAGGAGATCCGTCGGTCCGGAAGCAAGGAACAGGAGGGATAACAGACCTGCCAGCTGGTGTCATTGGGGAGCCCGCTGATTTGCATGCGATACGGGGTCCGCCGAGGCCGGGGTGCGGAGCGCTCGCCACTGAAGCCGCTGCCGTTACCGGCGCCGCCTCCTCCATCGCGGTTGCGCGAGCCACGGGCAAACTGGACGGTGAGGCGCTCGCCCATAAATTGAGATCCGTCTTGGGTATCGCGGGTTAGTCGCCGGGTTGTCTTGGAGATGAGAAGCGTCGCAGTCCACCGTGGAGGTTTGGCCTAGGACCGTCGACCGGGGCGGTGTGGATGGGCCAAGTCAGATGCATCGGGGGAAGGGGAGGGACATACGGAAAGCTGTAGTAAAGAGTGAGACATCAGTTAGCACTCGAGGTACGGTGACGGGAAATTCGTTCGCGCCTTGCGGCCGGAAGCTATCATTACCTGGAACGACGTCGCGCGCGTCCATCATATCCTCGTACTCAATGAAGCCGAAGCCGTTCATGAGCTTGATTTCGGTGATCTTGCCAGTGCCATGGGCACCAAAGTGGCTCGCGACATCCTCCTTGGTGGCTGCGACGTTGTCAGAATGGCTCTGTTTGTGCAAACCCTGCATGCGACTGCAGGTGCGACGCAGCTTTGTTTTTTGGGCAGCTGCAAAGTCGGCAAAATGGGGCGCTGCTGCGTGGACGCACCTTGTCGGGGCAGGTTGCCCAAATAAAGGCGCGTTGACGATACCTCGGTCATGGTGTCGACCTGCGCTTGTCGGCCTGGGGAAGAGCCAGCAACGGTCCGACGGCTGATCGGGTTTGTTGTCGTGATTCCTTTGGGACGATGGGCGGGCAACACGAGATGTCGAGGTGCAGCAGCAAATGGAGACGGGGTTGGGGTGGGCGAGGCTGTGTGTGCGCGTGTGGGGTGGCTTTTTATCTTTTATGCGGGAAGGCGGTCGCTCTTGCCATGGAGCTTGCGAAAATCCTGGTGGAAACCAAAACAACCATGGAAGCGAGCGAGCAGGGGCCAACGGCAACCGTACGGGCGCTTGCTTTTTGTTTGGCTGGAGCGTGGAGGAGGAGCAAGCTCGCAGAAAAGCCGACACGCCAGGTGGAAAAACAGAACAGGACTCGACGACAAATCTTGCCGATGAGACGCGGTACCGTATATACGGCCTATTGGAACCTTGGGGGATGCTGGTGATGGAGGAGGCGGGCGGGCTGGTTGGGTTCTCGTCGAGCATAAATCGGGGCCGGGTCTCGTGAGCTTGGCCAATGGGCTGGGCGGGCAGGCAGCGTGTTGCTTGCCGCTCTCGCGTGAGGGTGGCAGGCAAGCTGGGCGTGCCAAAATATTGGCGGGCGCACCCAGGTCGCCCACAGATGTCGAAACTCTATCACTAACCCAAAACGGCTAGTGCTTCCGCTGCGGAGTGGGTCATCACACGCCGACCAAGCTGACAAACCGCCAATCAAAGCCATTGTCGCCCAGTGGTCGAACGCGCCTCCCACGCTCCCCAGGCGGGGACACTGCCCCATGCCACCCCCCCTGAAATTGGGATTGTCTGCCATGGCACGATCCATGCTGTCGACATGAAGGGAGGCTCGAGGGAGACTAACACGGCGGGATGCGAATATTGATCGACAGGGACAAACAAGCACGCAGTTTGCAGTTTGGATGACAAGACTGATCTTGGTTCTCCAATATGGTACCTACACAGTGCAACCTACCGAATACCAAGGAGCTGAACAGCAAACCTCCAACGCCTCTGATGCATGCATGGAATCAAGCCACCGTTAGAGCCTTGCGCCCCATAATCCCAAGAGTAATGCGAGATGACATGTCCGTTGGTAATAGTAACGGCCCAACCGGGCCAGAATGGTGCGTGAAAAAAGCAAAGTCAGGACAAATGCAAAAACACGCAATAAAAATAAACAACAACGCCCATGCTATGCGGCAGTCACCGATTCCAAACTTCCGTGCCTGCTCGGTTTAGTTCTCGGCAAACAAGACGTCGATCAGCTCGTCGAGAACGGTAAAGGCCAAGTGTGTGCTACACACCAGGTTAGCTTGAATCCCCGGGAGTCCGACCGGGGGAGCTGAGGACTGCAACTCACTTTAGCCGCTGGTTGTTCAGCGTTGCAAAGATGCGCCGGCTTGCCGCCTGCGCGTTCAGTCGGCCCACCACGCTTCCGGCAAGGTCGGGAACGAGCGTGGCCAGCATGACGCTGGCCTCTGTTCTGGTCCTCGACTTTTGCGCCGGAGTGCGGGGCTGCTTGTTCCTCTGCAGCTCGCCCCCGGGCCACATGTTGTCGCGCAACAGGCCCACGTAGCGTAGGATGGCGTCCTCCTGCGTCAGGAGCTTGACGTTGTCCCGGAGCTTCCGCTCGATCGTGCCCCCGAGCAGCTGGTGGAGGACAACGACCACTGCCCGGCCACGCAACCAATTATTACCCCTGTTGAGCTCGAACACCTCAAGAAATACGTCGCAAATCGGCTTCACAAACGGCTCGAGCTCTTTGTTCTCGAAGGCGTTCAATTCTGCCTCGGCCTCTGCTGCAGATATGGCACCATCACCGCTGGTGTCTAGTGGCATCGCGTTGAGCTGGCTGGTTGCTGCTGCGATGAGGTTCTGGCCTGCGAGTGAAAGTTGGTCGAGCACAGGGATACTGCCCAGGATGTCCTCCATTCCGTCCGCTACCGAGTCGTACAATCGTGTGATCATATCCTTCTTGTCCTCCCGGTCCACGAGATCTTGTCCTTGGGTTATCGCGCTCTGTGAGAGGAATGCTCTGAGATCCCGGCTGCGACACGCCTCGGGCAGGAGCAGCAGCTCCCGGAGATATTTCTCCAGCGCTTCCCTGCGTTTCTGGAGAAAGTCGTTTTGGAGTTTCATGACCATCCGGCGACGCGGGAAATCGAGGTTGCGAACTGACGGGTACCGGGAACGAAGCTTTTGATGCAGCTCCAAGAACTCACTGTACCGCCGTGTGACAGGCCAGGTGGCTGCCGGCATCTTTTCTCCAGCGTCCCGTGAGACCTCAATGACATAGAGCGCAAACTCCTTGCCGTCGTCATCTCTGCCGACCTGTATGGACTTGATGCTGATCGTCGAGCGGCCGTATAGGCTGTTATCGCTCTCCTGGATTACATACTGCTGTCTCTGCAGTTCTTTCCTGCGTATTTCCCGCTGCAGGCTGGCCCTGGATTTCCGAAGAATCCTCAGCTCTGCTGTATTATTTGTGAGTTCCGCCTTACGCAGCAGAGATTCGACGATGGCATTTTGGGAAACCAGCCGGTCTATATCGTTGGTCAAGACAGTGATGGCTTCGGCAAGACCCAGATCTCCGGGGGCAGCCTCATGTACTTGATCTTCGTCGTCGTCGTCGTCCTTGTCCTCGTCCAGATCATCGCGTTCGTCAGGGAGATACTTGTCCTCGTCGGCAAATAGATCGTTGTCCTCAAAGACGCCAATCCTGGATGACGCGCTCACGAGACCTAGGGAAGCCAAACTCGGCTTCTCTGGCTCTTTCTGGGGTTGGCCTGGACGCGCCACGTCAAGCGAGCCCCGCTTCGAGCCGCGGTTGCATTCCGTGTCGGGGGAGAAAAGGCTCGAGCCCTCATCATCTGCTGAAAACAGCGATTCCCGGAGATCTTCGGCTGTTGGCACTTGACTGTCCTCCATGATTGTGTTGAGCGCATCCTCGACCGCCTTCACCACATGGGTATCGGGGGTGGGTTGGGTGAGGTCCTGATCTAAGCTTTGGACAGAGTCTGCCAATGCATCATTGTCCACGTCCTCGTCGTCAAATAAGGGATTTGGAGATGCGTCTTCGTCTAGAGACCGTCGAGGGATGAGTAGAGGGTCGGCGCTATTGCCGTTTCCATGCATGGATCTGATATCCGCCACGGAGCCAGCCCTACGGGTATGGCGCGGACCAGGCTGAAGACGGGTAGCCAGACGCGAGATGTGATTAGTTTTAGGAGCGGTCGTGAAGGATTGCGATGCTCTGCTCATAATAGGCGGAGCCACCGGTGGGTGCGGTCCGTTGTCGGTAGTGACACTAGCCGCCGCACTGGAGGCCTCTTCGGCTGCGAGACACTTGTAAAACAAGTCGGACTTTTTGAAATTTTGGAAGTGATTGAGCTTCATCTCGTCGAGGACTGCAGTCTGTGCGCGTAAAATGGCACGGCGAGCCCTGTAGTACTGTGCGGGTGTGGCGGCCTTCCCAGCACTGAGAAACTCTTGCACAAGCCTCTTGGCCGAGCTGGGGACCTTGAGGACTGGCATGGAGAGGTATGCCTGGTATATCTGGGCCAGGTCGAGCCTGTCCGAATCGCTCCATGGCGGTAATGCCAGCGGAAGTTGCTCGGTCTCTGGGCCGTCGTCCTCCAGCGGGTTCCGAAACCCGTCCACGACAATCCAGAACTGGACCAACGGCAGTAGGCGTTGCCGGTCCATGTATTCCATGAAGTAGGACAGCCCGGAGGCGTCCCGAAGTAGCTCCTCGAGCGGTGCGTTCTCCAGTCTAGAAAAGCTTGGTGCCTGTGCCATAACTGGCGGCTGTGCGGCACGCCGGTCACCACCTGCAGCTAGTTGATGCACCCGCTGGTCAAGAAGCCTCTTGCCCATGTCGAGGCGGCGGAGGTAGACCTGATCCTGTCCCTCTCTTTGAGATTCCCTCTTGAGCTGGCTCGCCACCTCGCTTCTGAATCTCCGGGCGTCCGAGAGGTTGTTGACCTTCTTCACTGACCGAACAAACTTCTCGAACCGACGCTCGCTGTCGCCAGGGGCGAGCCTGGGAAAGGCCGGTGGCTTCCCCGTCTTCGGGGCCGGTTGCGCATGCTGGTCTAGGGCGGCGCGCAGCTTCCTCACGGTCGACCGGTCCTGCAGCATGCTCCGGCCGTAGTTCTCCATGACCTGGTTCCAGGTGTCCGGGTCGGCTAGCATACCCATGACCGAGGAGAGAACGGCACAGGCGACTATCTCCCTGATTAGGACCGAGACCGCACGGCTCCTGAGCATGTTGTCGGGCAAGACCTTGGGCAAGATTCTGGAGACAACACCACGGAGGTACTCCTGCTGCGCCACTCTCGTGTCTGTGTGCGACAGGCTCGCTGCCGGGTGCAGCCTCCCGTCGTTGTACTTGGAGGCGATGGCCAGGTCGAGCTCCTCGGACTCGGTGACGGAGCGGTTGAGCTTCCTGCCCCTGACGGACCTCTCGGCATCGTAGAAGCTCCGGACGTGGGCGGTCAGGACAGGCACCAGGCGGCCGGTCAGGATCTCGGCCAAGTCGACATGGCGCAGCCGGTCGCAGACGTTGACGAGGGCACCGCCGATGGCGCGGTCGACCTCGTTCGTAAAGGCGGGGTTCTTGCTGATGCTGCCGTACCACGACTGGACAAAGTCGCGCACGATGAGGTGGACTAGCTGCTCGAGCGCCTGCGACACCTTGGGCGCATCGGGGACGAGCGGCGGGGGTTTGTACGACTGGCGGGCATCGAGGGCGGCGAGCTCGGCGGACCAGGCGGCGGGGGCGACGAAGGCGACGCCGTGGGGCCGCGCGGAGCGGCGGCGGTCGGCGTAGTGGGGGCCCCTGGAGGAGAGCAGGACCAGGGCGAGGACGGCCAGGAGGGCGAGCAGAAGGCCGGCGATGAAGGCATAGCCGGCGAATCGGAGGGTCGGGAACCAGTGGGTTGCGTAGCCCCAGGCGATGAAACTTGCGAGCCCAGCAAGGATCACGTCCCGTCCCTTAAGGGCCATAATAGGGAAGTTCAGGTTCCTGTGTCCGAGAGGAGCCGGTAGCCCATCGTTTGCTGTTGGGAGGTGTGGAGAGCCGACGTATCATTCTTGTCCACGTCGGAGCAGGAGAGGCGCCGTCACCGCCGTGGCTGCGGCTGTGAGCAAAGCTCCAGCGGAGGTGCTGTGGGCTATCCTGAACAGCTCGTGTCGGACGGTGAAATGACACAATGGCAATTTGATAACGGCCGATGGAGCCTGGCACATGGGGTCAGACCCGCTTGTCGCTGGAGTGGACCGTGCGCCAACACAACGGCACTTGCACCGCCATCATGACCGTTGTGTTGGTTTCTGTTGCCGTTATTTCGCATGTGATGCATTTTGTGAGCTTACAAAAGAATCCTACCCATTTCAACTTCACATTCGAAAATCCCGAGCGCTTTCGGGGTTCTCTCAATTGTCGCCGACGGAGAACGGGCTAGCTAATGCACCCCGTCGGGGCTATCGGGTCGTCGGCATTTTTGTCTTAGCTGATGTAGGGGATGAAGCAGCAACAGGCTGGCTGTGCAGGGCCGACGATACTATACTCTCTATATCCATCACCCTCAAGTCTGTAAAGCCGACGAATTCACCGAAGTCTCACGCAGACATGGACTTATTTGGGATAGAGGATGTTCCAGCCAGGCGCTTTGTAGGATGTATGCTTGGTATATATATTCGGCCAAATCCATCCCCCAATGTGATGTTTCCCAAGGTCGGCAAGAATCTCAATAGCTTCAGCGAACACTCTCGTAGTCACACGCAACTCGACAACCTCGAAACACGCCCGGTATCAGCATGGCCACTCTCAGCGGATTCGTCCCCGGAGCTGAGCTCGACACATCAGTTGCAGAACTCTCCCAGGCCGTACGCGACCTCAGGTCGAGCGCAGGGCTCGGTGCCGTCGACCCCAAGCAGCGTGGGAAAGCCATTGAGCTGGCCCAGACAGTGCTGGGGTCCCTCAAGCACCCTATCGAGGCCATGATGGACGAGTACTTTGGTATTTCCTTCATAATGGCCACCCGTCTGTTCGCTTCCCTAGGAGGTTTTGAACACATCCCGTCCGAGGAACCAATCTCGTACAATGATCTCGCCAAGAAGTTGGATTCTGATACCTCCTTGATCAGTATGTTTGCTGGGATCGATAGGTAGCTACACTTGCTGTTTATGCTGAACACTTACTGACTGCATGACGAAAGAGCGGGTCGCTTGGGTGCTTGTCGCCAACGGCCTCCTGAAGCAGGTCGACAGCGACAAGGTGACGCACACGCCGAGATCCAAGGTCTTTGCTGGGCCTCACTCGCTACATCCAGCGTTTCAATATATGTGAGCGCCAAGGCCATTCATATGTGCAAAGGCCACCACCTTCTCTCCGATACCTGTTCTAACGATGCGCCCTCGCTGTCAAGGGCGTCCGTGAGTATCCCTGTCCTGTTCGCCCTCCCGGACTACTTCGAAAAGTACGGGCGCAAGGAGCCGGCGACTCGGACGCACACACCATATTCCTTTGCGCATGGGAAACCCGAGTTGACGGTATGGGAGGTGATGCGGCAGGACTCCGACCGGAACGGGGTCGCCGAAGGCATGAGAGCCTTTGGCGCGTTCGAGAAGATGATGCCCATGGCGGGCGTTTACGACTTTGGCTGGGTGGCTCGCGAGGCAGCCGCCGACCCTGCCGGCACCAGAGCACTTGTAGTGGACGTGGGCGCCAGCAAAGGCCACGTCACCAAGGCCATCTGCGAAAGCACCCCGGGCCTCCCCATGAGCCGCTGCGTCCTGCAGGACCTTCCCGAGGTCGTCGCGGAGCTGGAGAAGGCGGACGACCCGGCGCTCCGGGATGCGCAGAAGATTGCTATGGACTTCCACCAGGAGCAGCCTGTCAAAGGTGAGTGGCATTCATGGCCCGTCTTCCACCCTTTGTTGCATGTTCCGTGGCCAAAATTAGTTCCCATGAGATCTGCCGCCCAGTTACTGACGATTGTGAAAACGACCCATGTCCAGGGGCACTGGTCTACTTCATCCGTCGCTGCCTGCACGACTACGGCGACGAGGAGTGTGTTGAAATCCTGCGCGTGATCGCCGACGCCATGGCACCAGATAGCAGGCTGGTCATTATGGAACAAATCATGTCCAACCCGCCAATCGCCATGTGTGCGGCCACGGATTTGTTCATGATGAATTTAGGCGGTAAGGAAAGAACAGTCGAGGGGTTCGGCGAGCTAGCTTCCAAGGCCGGGCTGAAAATCAGCAATGTGAACCTAACGGAGGGGTTCGGTCTGAGCGCTGTTGAATGTGCCCAGGCTTGAGAGTCGAAACATGGCATACTCTAGAGATATGAAGATCGATGTGGCTGGAGAAGATGCTGTGGGGTTTGCTGTGAGCATCTCCGCTTGGGGGACTTGGGTCAGTGGCCAGCCTTGCACGGGAAGCTTAACAGTTCTAAATACATCTTTTCTCGAATACGCTGCTGATCACCATGGCGGCTCCTCCATGCGCCTGAACAGCGCGACATACTTTTGGCCGTTGTTCCTCGTCACCTTCTTCCCCTCCTCTGTTTCGAACCGCATTATGCGGACGCAAGGGTCGGCCTCCTGCTCGTCCTCGGGGACCCTGATGAAGGAAGGGTGGGACTCAAAGTGACCGACCATCCACTCGTGCAGGTCCTTGACGTCGGTGATAGTGTAGATTATCCCAGTGCCCGGACGCAGGACATAGGCGTACTCGGAGTTGAGCGTAGTCGACACGATGCGCTGCTTGTGCTTCCGCGCCTTGAAGTGTGGGTCCGGGAAGCAGATGAAGATCTTGGACAGCTGTGCGCGCCGGAAGAAGTTGGGCAGGAACTTCATCGTGTTGGCGCGGACGCACGCGATGTTTTGGTACAGCTTCTCTTTCTCATGTTGAATGCGCAGCGCCCGGATCTTGTCCTCCACGAACCCAGTGACCTGGGTGCGAATCTCCATGCCTGGGTGCCAAGGCGAGCGGATCGACCGGCTTGTTAGCACGCCCAAAGAGTCACCGCCATCGTGCAGCGTACCTGGGCGCTTCGCTCACCTAGTATCAAGGAATCCGGCAGCTCTGGCGAGAGGGCCATCAACAAGCCCCCGAACCCACAGCCGATGTCGGCAACCTCAACATCCTTCAGTAGCCTTTTTGGTAGGCGCTGACCTGCGGCCGAGGACTCCTCGGGGGTGACCTCACTCCCTGTTGTTATCTCCGCGTCGACAGTATCTTCAGCAGCCTTGTATGCGGGATACAGTTGCGCCCAGTCCATGTGGTCTGGGGAGACGGGGCTTGCACCAGTGTCAGCACATGTGTGCAAGCTCGGATGGGCGCGGCGACAGTCGCTCACTATGTAAGGTTATGGTCCGAAAAGGGGTTCGCGTGCGCCCGCTGGCGATAGAACCTTTTCCGAGGCAGCGCTACGACGCCATCTGAGTTGTTCTTTTGCGCCTCGCGGTAGCCCTTGCGCTGGTTGGTTTTGTTGCCTCCCCCCATCGCGTCACCTGTCACGGGTTTCTCTCGACGCTGTTGTTGGGGGTGAAGATGATGGATCCTAGAAGTCCGGGTGTGAAGATTTTCTGGATTTTGTATAGGTATGCTTTGTGATCTGGGATCCAATTGAATTCAATGCATGAGATTGCCGTGTTGGAGAGGCTTGAAAACTGCATTTGGTGTGAGTTGAGGAGTGGGGTCTCAATATGTTGAAGCGGCGCTAGCTCTGGGTGGATATGGGCCCAGCTCTCAGCACTGATGCGGGCCAGTTCGGGAGGTGACGTCTGGCGCTGTCGTGGTGCCATCCCGCCGTGATCGGAGAGCTCCTGGACGGTTTTCAACCCCACCATGGTTGCAGCTCAAGTGTCAAGTGTCATTCTCGAGACCACGCTTACACTGGCCTGCAAAGATATTTTGAGAAAAAGACTGCTCATTACTCCCTGCCCATATTCGATTCGTCTCCAAGAATAGAAACAGGTCTCTGCTCTTGAAGAAAATGGCGTCCAAGAACCAGGTTTTTATCGCCATCATTGGTATGTGTAAAAAGTGGTAACACCAGGGGTCACCAACGACAGCATATGCAACAGCAGCATCCTTCCTGCTAACATGGATTCACTCCCAGGCGCCGGTGGTGTCGGCAAGTGCTTCATCGGCCAGCTGACGGAGCTGGCCAAGCGACGGCCTTCGCCTCGGCTGAGCCTCTGCTACGTCGCCACGAGCAAAAAGGCACTGTTCCACAATGACTATGCCGAGGTTCCCACGGCCGACGTCGTGGCCGCTGTGGCCGCCTCATCGCGCGCCCCTCCGGCCCTGTCTGAGCTGGCCGAGTACCTCGCCAAGGCTCCGGCCAAGGTGGTGCTGGTCGACAACACCAGCTCGCAGGACGTCGCCGACAGCTATCCTCTCTTCCTCTCGCGCGGCGTCAGCATCGTCACGCCCAACAAGAAGGCCTTCTCGGGCTCCTTCTCGCTCTGGCGCGATATCTTTGCCGCATCGGCCACGTCGGGCGCAAAGGTCTTCCACGAGGCCTCGTGCGGCGCCGGCCTGCCTATCATCTCCACCATCAAGGACCTCGTTGACACGGGCGACGAGGTCACTAGGATCGAAGGAGTGCTGAGCGGTACCATGTCTTTCCTCTTCAACTCGTTTGCCCCTCTCAACGGCGCCGGTGGCAAGTGGTCGGCCGAGGTGGCCAAAGCCAAGGAGCTCGGCTACACAGAGCCCGACCCGCGTGACGATCTCAACGGACTCGATGTCGCCAGGAAACTGACCGTGCTCGGCCGCCTGGCTGGGCTCGAGATCGAGTCGCCCACCTCGTTCCCTGTCCAGAGCCTCATCCCCAAGGCGCTCGAGTCGGTGGCCAGCGGCGACGAGTTCATGCAGAGGCTGCCCGAGTTCGACTCGGAGATGGAGGAGATCAAGGCTGCAGCCGAGCGTGAGGGCAAGGTCGTCCGGTTCGTCGGCAGCATCGACGTGGGCGCCAAACAGGTCAAGGTCGGCCTGGAGAAGTTCGACCGCTCGCATCCCATTGCCGCGCTCAAGGGCAGCGACAACATTATCAGCTTCTACACCAAGCGCTACGGTGCCAACCCGCTGATCATTCAAGGTGCCGGGGCTGGTGGCGAAGTGACGGCGATGGGCGTGACGAGCGACTTGCTCAAGGTGCTGGCACAGATCTCATAGCAGATCTTTGCGCCTCAGCTGTGAATATCTCAAATGCGTTTACAGGAGAGAAAAAAAAGGTGCATCGGAATGGCAATCAAACGAAGATACTCCACCGAATACTTCAAGGCTTAAGTCATAGGAGCTGATTAGGTGTCGGCCAATATTGATGTTGTTGTTATTATGGAGATTAGTTGAGGTGACTGAGGTCATTAATTGTTGGCTTTGGAGCTTAATCGAGGTTCCTGTATCGATAATGGCTCCCACAGGGGTTTGCTCTAGCGCGGGACCCACTGGAGGTACCTGCAAGTTTAGCACAGGACAGCGTGCCAGGCGAATGGCAAACGTTCACGTGTGAAATCATCAATTCCACGCCCGCACACACAAAGACCCATCACGGGGAGACACCACATCCTCCTCGTCTGCCCTCAGAGCGATGCCACAGGATCCGAACCTCTACGGCCAGCCGCCGCCAAAACGGCAGCGGAAGGCGATGGACCTGTCGAGCTCGCTGTCCTTTTCCGCCCAGCTCGGCTCGCTCCTTTCGAAGCCGCCCACGGCGTCGTCCTCCTCATCCACACCCGCGCCCGCCACCGCCACCAAGGGCCGGACACGCCCCTCCAAGACCGACGACATATTCGCCGGCGTCAAGGCTAAGCGCAAGGATGGCGCTAAGCGCGACTTTGACGCGCCAGACGGCCGCCGCGGGGGCGGCAACAAGCTCCGCCTGCGCTCGCCGACGGGCACCTTCGAGTCGGAGCGCGAGCGCGAGGCCGCCCGTCTGAACATGGAGGAGAAGGCCCGCCGGTACGCCGCCATGAAGCGCGGCGACTACGTCCCCGACGCCCGCGCCGGCCCGGGCACCGGCGACCGCGACCCGCTCGTCGACTTTGACCGCAAGTGGGCCGAGAAGCACCTCGACAAACCCCTAGGCGGCGGCGGTGGCTCATCCTCCGCAGATTCTTCGGACGACGACGACGGCGGCGGCAACGCGGACGGCAACGACACCGAGGTCATAACCTACACGGACGAGTTCGGCCGCACCCGCCGCGGCACGCGCGCCCAGGCCCGGC